TCGGAGCTCATCATTCGACGGTACGCACTCAGCATATGATTTTCGCACAAATCATGGGAGTGATTTGTCTCCCTCTGTATTTGGAGTTTTACTCGACCATATGAGGTGTATAAGGTGTCTCTGGATAGCCCTTGACGTCTAGTTGACTTATTGGGTGGTTTTTGTGCGAGGGAGATATTTGTAGATCATATTCGAGGTTGAGTGAACTGCTGCATGATTTGTAGATCATAAACTCGAGCAGTGAGAGAGTGTTGTTGTCTGGGTCGTATCTTGAGCTCCAGTCGTCCAAATAAGGCGTGTGAGGTGTCCATTGAAAGCTCTCAAGATAAGGAATCCATAGAGGTGTGGTTTGCGTCAATTGTTTATCCAAAGTCTTATGTTAGTTTTTGTCTTTCTTAGTAATCATCTAGAGCATGACAACATGTATTTTAAAGTATTTTCTTGCAGTGCTTTCGAGTAGTTTCAGAACTCCCTTATGAGGTTAAAACCTAGATCCTTAGGATTGGTTATCAAATTGAAGATTGCAAATCATGATATTGTAACCTTTCACTACCCGTCTTGTTTCCAAAGGTCTCATTTGAAACGTCTTCTCTCCTGCTTGCATACTTATAGTTGGCATACATCTCCACCTTCCTAAACCTTACACACGCACATCCTATTACATATATATACAAAACTTATGCAACTTCTATATCAGAGACCACATATTATAGGACAAGTACATGGGAGAACACATACCACATATGGGATAATAACTTTGTGATGTTAGATTATAGTTAATGAGATAAATCTTGTGTTTCACATACAACAAGGAGAGCATTGGGATTCAAGGTGCATTATAAGGTAAAAATACTATTCAGTTGATAGATCTCATAACAGTTCTCTTTTGTGCCATTTTCTGTTATTCATGATCAAGAAAACTCGTACTTTTCTGAATTCACGATGTTCTCTTGATTCTAGGAACATATATTGACAAGAAGTGCCCCTTTGCTGGGAATGTTTCTATTAGAGGTCGTATCCTTGCTGGAACATGTCATAGTGCAAAGATGACTAGAACCATAATTGTCCGCCTTAACTATCTTCACTTTGTGAAGAAATATCAAAGGTAAGCACTGTAATGATTAGCCGTGTTGACCATTGTACTTACAATCTCAAATAAAAAACTTTACAGGTTCGTTTTTTAATCTTTCAGGTATGAGAAAGGGCATTTAAATATTGCTGCTCATGTTTCACCTTTCATCTCTGTCAAAGCAGTTTTACAGTTTTCAAACTTCCATTCGGTTTTTGCAACTCTAATGGCTCTGTATTTCACACTTAAACAGGCCATTGTCAAAAACTGTTCGATTCAATGTGTTAAAAGTCATCCCTGCTGGGTCTGCCGGCGGTTGGAAGAAGGCCTTCTTCACAGGAATTTGAACGTGATCTTTCTCCCTTTTTGTTAATGAGTTTTGTATCAAGTCTTCTATTGTGTGTGTCGTCAATTTATTTTTTAATATATTCAGTCTTTTTTAAACTTGCAGCTATTTCTATGTTTCTTTAAAAACTCAATTTCTCTTAAATTGAAACGCGCCCTTCCCTCTGATCATATAAAACCCTCTTCGTAAGTTGATACCTATAAGATGGCTAGTAAATCTAAATAATACTGTATTTACATGTATTTGTGGTAATTTGTTTCCACAAAGTTCAGTGGTAATTTGTGGCAATCTGTTTCATTCTGACTAGAGGCACCTCTAGTCCGGTTCTGATTCGATTGACCAGCTGGTCCAGGCCTCCAGGGTTTGGGGGCAAGACCACACCTGGGTGCGGTGCTACTGGGCTTTTTCCAGTTTAAATCTCAATATTATTTTAAATACTTGAATAAAGACCAAATATCAATGAAGTTAATTCATTAATGATAAATGCACCAAGGATGATTATAAGTTATAACCAGTTCCCGTAGAACAAAAATTCTTCTTGTACACAATTTTACAAGTCTCTGATAGAATTTTACAATTGTGTAAAATTGTGTACAAGAAGAATTTTTGTAAAAATTGTCTAGTTAAATTTTACTTCGTGAACAACCTTCATGTTATATACGGAGTAAAATTTAACAACATTCACGGTGAAAAAATACTATGTATATAGTACACAAATGGAAAAGGAATATGAGTTTAGACATCATCACTTTTAAAATCTGAAAAGGAATGAGTTTAGAAAAAAAAAAGATGACACTCCATCCCTAAAGGCCCACAACATCGGCCGGACGGTACGTTGAGAGGATGTAAATTGGACTATAATCACAATATGACAGATAGATAGTGGGACTTTGTCTTCGGTACTTGCAGAGGTCCTATGCATTTTTAGTATAGTAACCTCTCATCGTAGTTACCGGGATTCAAACTCAGAACATAACCCTGATGACACTCCCTTGCTATCAGTTGAGCTACGCCCACCGGTGAATATGAGTTTAGAAGGTGTCACCTTTATGTATGATCCGGTGTTGTGTAAGAGTATTTTTACTGCTGGCTAAACTAGGTCTGATTTTATTTGTTTAAGAAGTAATTGATCTAAATAGGACTTAAATATAAGACTAATGCAAGAATAGGATTTTATGATTTTTTATTCCCAAAATAGGAGCTCCTTTCATTTTATCCCCATCTAGGGGTGGATTCGGTTCGGGCCACCCGGCCCGTGACCCGGCCCGACCCACTATTGTGCGGGCCTGGGACCGGCCCGGTCTGGCGGTCCGGGACTGGGTGTAGACCCGAACCGGTGGGGATGGGCGGGGCGGGCTCGGTTCCGGAAATTGTTGACCTGGCCCGGTCGGGTCGTGCTCGGGTCTGGGTCCAACGGTCATTTTTTAATTTTTTTTTTGTTTTGGGCCAAAATAGCCGTTGGGGGTGGGCTGGGGACAACCCAAACGGCTATATAGCCGTTGGGTGGGGTGCAGGGGGTCTGGGTGGTTTGGGGGGTGGGGGTGTGGTAAAAAAACCTATAAATACTCCTAATCTTAAACATTTTTTCATCTCTTCTCCAATTCTTTCTAAATCCTATTTTTAACTCTCTACTCTCTAATTCTCTTATTCTCCAATATATTATATTTATTATTTATATATCTACTTTATATTAATTATCTACTTATAATTTATAAATACATACATTATAATATTATATTACTTATATTTGTTATGTAATTATATATTACTTATACATTTATTATATCTATTAATATTGTTGGAATTATATCTAATTAATTTGAAGTCATTCTATTACTCCCATCCGAAAGACCGAAAGTTTGAAAGAGGTACGAAATCATTCTATTATTTACATTTGTTTAATTTTGTATTAACTTTACTTGAAAAAAAAACTAGTTAATTCTCATAATAGTTAAAGTTAAACTATAATAATTTGATTGTTAGTAAAAAAAAATAGGTTGTACAAAAAACTAGTTGTAATTCTCATTATAGTTAAAGTTAAAGTATATTAATTTCATTGTTAGTAAAAAAAATAGGTTGTACACAAAACTAGTTAATTCACTAGTTAATTTGATTAAAGTAAACTTTAAATTACTAATTTGCTATAACTCGAATTAATAGTTAGATTAATAGTTAATTACTTTATTACAATTTTTTATTTATTGCTACATTTGACTCTAGTTTAAAAAACTAGTTAATTCTTATTATAGTTAAAGTTAAAGTATATTAATTTCATTGTTAGTAAAAAAATAGGTTGTACACAAAACTAGTTAATTCACTAGTTAATTTGATTAAAGTAAACTTTAAAATACTAATTTGCTATAACTCGAATTAATAGTTAGATTAATAGTTAATTACTTTATTACAATTTTTTATTAATTGCTACATTTGACTCTAGTTTAAAAAACTAGTTAATTCTCATTATAGTTAAAGTTAAAATATATTAATTTCATTGTTAGTAAAAAAATAGGTTGTACACAAAACTAGTTAATTCACTAGTTAATTTGATTAAAGTAAACTTTAAAATACTAATTTGCTATAACTCCAATTTTTTATTAATATATTTTTATTAATATATCTGATGCAATTTAATATTTGTTACATTTTTTAGATGGATCGTCCTAGATATTCGGTTGATATGGGTAACCTCGAGCGCAACCGAACGAAAGAGCTTGCGAGGAAGAGATCCCGCAAAGGTAAATCACATATCGGCTCTTCATCTCAAAGTCGAGATGATTTTGATACGGGTTACGCAAGGAGGGATGAGGATGCGATGACCGACGAACAACCAGAACAAGAATTGCACCGACATAATTCCCGCTTTTTTCAAGACCAACCGAGGATCATTGACGAAGAAGAGCTCGAGGACGAGGACGACAATGTGGAGGAAGTAATTCCGGAGAGCCACAACGAGGAGGAGGAGGAGGGTGGCGTCATCCATGACGCCGACGAGCCTGCCTCATCCCAAACAGGTACGAAAAAAAGTAAATCTGAACTAATGGCTAATAATTTTTCTAAGTGGAAGGACCCGAACACTGGGAATTGGACCGCAACTTGCAATTGGTGCAAGAAAAACTATGACTTGGGGATTTCCGGCGGATACGGATCCGCCACAAGACATCTTAAGTCCAAACACCCGGTGGAGTATGCAAAATTAGGCGGCGGAACGGGGAAGGAAATTCAAATATCGAGGTTTGCAAATAACCAACAAGCTTTTGGTAATTTCTCATACAATGATGCACAAAATTTGACTGGTATGGCTAACTTACTTGTTGAAGAAAATTTGCCTTATTTGTTTTCTGAAAGTCTTACTTTTCGTGATTATGCACAAACTTGTTTAAATCGGCAATATAGAGGTTATAGTCACAAAACGATTAAGAAAGAAATTTCAATGCTTTATGGTTATTGATGGATAGTGCATCCGGGGGGTAGCTTATCCAAGGGGTTATTGCTGAGAATAATTTAGAGAGAAGCCAGAGCACAAGCAAGTAAGAGAGAGAGTGTATTCAGTATGAATGTCGTGCTTTACAACGGGGAAAAGGGGGTGCTATTTATAGTAGCAATAAATGCCGGACAGGGACACGTATCAAGCATCCATTGGCCGAGAGGTCACCTCATCCGGTTGGCGCTGGCAAACGCATGTGGCCGCATTTAATGCGGCTGTTGGATGGGACGTTGTACAGGGTACGGTGACCTGTACGCATGTGAGGCGGACATCATGTCGGGAGAGGTTCCCTCGGCTGCAGAGGACTAGTCGAGGGCTCTTGGTGCCGAGGACCCCTGAGTGCCGAGGGCTCCAGATGCCGAGGGCTACTGTTTTCTGTCGTTTTTCTCCCAGTTTCTTAGTTTGCTTGGAAAACCCATTCTGTGAGAGTTTAGAGCCTTCGGCCGGGGGGGCGAAGGCACCCTTAGTGCGCTTTGCGGGCTGCTTGGTACTCTGGGCGCTGTGATTTGGGCCTGTTGGGCCTTTTGGGCCCGTTGGGCTTTCACTGGAGTAGTAGGAGTCTGTGGGCCGGGTGTTCCCGGGCCATATACTCCATCAGGAGTCCCTCACTCCTTTTGCCGAAAGGTACTTGAGGGAAAAGGAGTAATTTGTGTCTTCTGAGGTTGGTTTGTCGCTTGCATGTCCCTGCCGAAGGCAGTCCCTCAGTTACCCACATGTCGGGACTTGAGGGCTTGCTTTGCCGTTTGTTGGAAATTTTCACCATTTTGTAATTTTAGTGATTTTCCCGAGGGGGTCCTCCAGTCCCCCACTCCTTGAGGCACTTGTAAATTGGTGAAAAGGAGTAGAGTAGTTGCGTTGCTGTTGTGGGCCGAAGGCTGACGCTTTTCGTTTCATTTTGGGGGGATGCCTCGTTAAAAACCTCATTAGGAAAAACCCTGTGGGAAAAAATCCTAATGATGGAAAAAGAGTGCACTGAATTCCCCCAACGATGAATCGAAAATGTGAAACCTTGGTCAAAAATGGAGAATAACGGTAATGCCGAAGACTCTCTTTTTCTGAGGGCTCATGTGTTGATTAGCCGAAGGCTTGCTGTTGATGTCCTGGGCGGTGCCGAAGGGGAGCCCCTCAATCTGGGGATCGAGGGCATGATGGATGAGGGCAGTAATTGAATTGTCGCCGGGGGGTCCCCTGCTTGCTGGTTAGTTGGTGATGAGGATACCCGAGGGCTTCCATTACCTATGTATCGTAGGCTATCCGTCAAGGAGGCATACTCCCCGGGGGCTACCCCGGTCCTTGCAGTACTGAGGGGAATCCCCGAGGGGTGCCTGATATGAAGCCTTGGGTTTCTGAAGGAGTGATTCCTAAGGCGTCTGTTATGTACTGTGTAGGGCACAAACCGGGGGCGTCTCTGGGTAAGTGTACCCGGAGGCTCTCCTTGATGAAGTGGAGTGAGGTAAAACACCCGGGGGCTTCCAGAATATATCCGTTGGAAATATAGCCGTTGGAATATGTATCGGCAGGATGTAGCCGTTGGGGGAGGAGGACACGTGGCGCGTGACGGTTGGCTGCCCGTGGGCGGCGTCATCGGTTGGGTGAAAACGCGGTGCGTAATGATGACGCTTGGCCGGAGGCCCAGTTTTAGGGCCCAAGCCCGGATTCTGGAGTCTATAAATACCCCATGGCCAGACCATTCTCCTTGTGCGTCCGATATCGTTAGCGAAGCTCTGCCAAATTTTCTAGAGAGAGAAAGCTCAAGCCCCCGGTCAAAACTCAGCTTTCAAGGTCAGTGTCCTGCTTTCCTCTCAAAACTTTTAGTAAGTTTCGCCCTCTGGCCTTAGATTAGGGTTAGAGTCCTGTAGAAAGCCTTCGAAACCTCAGGTGCGTACTTTGTCAAAAATGTCGTCCGCGAGCGATTCCCAGGACATCTCGAGGGAGCCCTCAGTCGAGGATGAAAGCATCTCCGACGTGGAGTCCAGTAGCAGTCAGCCCTCGGATGGTGGTGATGCAGCTCTCGCCACCGAGGTGCAGAAGGATCTGGTGGCCGAGGCCGAGGCGGAGGAGTTCGAGCGAACCGTCGAAGATGAGGAGTTGGCCCTCGCCGTCCAAGTTGCTGAGGAGGAAGAGGAAAAGGAGAGGGCGAAGGTTACTGTCGTTGTTCTTCCCCCCGGGGTGCTGGTGAAGGAAGTAGCTCTAGGCCACTGGACCCGACGCCGTTAAGTGTAGCCCCCGGGAAGAAGAGGAGGAAGACGAAGGCTGGCCCCCAGAAGAAAGTAAGGCCCGTTGATCTGCCGGATGGTCACTCCTTCCTGGACACCGCCGCTCTGGAGATTAAGTCCCAAGCTGACAAGGCGGACTTCTACATCACCCAGTTGCATGTAGGGCCCTCGGCCGTAGTAGTCGAGCCAGGTCCTGATGACGTGTTGTCCCGGCCCCCCGAGGGATGTATAGCCGTGCACGTGCTCTCGGTTTCAATGGGCCTCCGGTTCCCTCTCCATCCGTTCCTCCGGGAGTACCTGAGATACACTGGCCTGGTTCCCTGTCAATTGACCCCCAATAGCCACTCATACATAGCTGGGTTCGTGAACCTGTGCAAACTCCGGGGGGTTACACCGAGCTTGGAGTTATTCTTCCAAAGTTTTAACCTGTGCCGGGGGGGGGGGGGGGGGGGCATACTAATGCCGAGGGCTATGCAAACTTACAGCAGATAGCCCAGTTCAAACTGTTCACCGAGGCCCCTTCTTCCAACAAAGGGTGGAGAGAGCGATGGTGCTATATCAGACTGACCGACAGCCCTTTCCCGAGGGAGTTGCAGAATCTCTTTCGGCGCCACGTGAAGGTCAAGAGTGCCGCCCTCGAGGAGGATGGCCTGAAGATTGCCAAGATTCCAGAGGGTCGGAAAAAGAACATAACCATCAAGGAGTGCACCCTCAAGGAAGACCTATATGCCCTCGGATTCCTGAGGTATCGGTTCATTGGGGAGACCGATGAGAAGTATCCCCTCTATGATAAAGCCTTCGGGGGAGCAGGAGGTAGTGGCCGAGGGCTACGACTTTTATACTTAGAATTTTTTTTGTCATGTTTGTCGTTGTGTCTCTGACCCCTCGGTTCTAACCTTTTAACTTGTTGTTGTCGTTCTTTGCAGGTAGCAAGATGAATGCCAATGCTCTGTTTGCAAAGAGGAAGGGCAAAACCCAGGCAAAGAAGAAGGGGCCCTCGGGCCAGAAGCCAGCCGATGCGTTTTTCCCGAAGGACGTAGAGCCTTCTGCTGAGGATGTCAATGCTGCTGAGGGGACCGGGGGGTCGAAGGCCGAGGCGGCCGTGAAGAAGAAGAGGAGTGGTAAGGGGGTGGAGCCCCCTACCAAGAAGCAGAAAGCCGCCGGGGGCGCTGTTGAGGGGGCGGCCCCCCTCATAATTATTGATGACATGCCCTCTACTGATGGGCCTCTGGCCTCGGCCACCCCGAAGGCTCCGGTGAATCTCCCCCCGGAGGAATTACCCCGGGAGATCCTTCAACTCTCCCTTGCCCCCGGTGCTTCACTGATGCACGGTACTGCCGAGCCGAGGGCCTTCCTGCGGGGCATCACCTCGAAGATGGATAGAGAAGTCTTCGAGACATACGATGATGATGCCCTCGAGAACAGGATCCTCCGGTCCTCTCTCACCGTAAGTATCTGCTTCCTGTTTCCTTCTCTTATCAATTTAGTATTTTTTTTTGGGGGGAATAATCTAACTCCTTTGATCATTGTTTGCAGGCCTGCATAGCCCTCGGGGAACAGGCCCGGAGGCGTGAGGAATGGCGCCTTCACGAGGCCGAGCAAGATAAGAAGATGGAGGGGCTGATTCGCAAGAACTCTGAAGCGATGAAGCATGCTGCGCAGCTGGAGGAGGCCCTCCGGGAGGCGAAGGCGGCGGCGGAGAAGGCCAAGGCCGATGGCATAGCCGAGGGCAAGGCAGAGGCCGAGAGGGTTGCTGCCGAGGCGGCGAAGAAAGCTGCCGATGAGGCCAAAACCGCCAAGGAGGGAGATGTGGCCAAGGCCCGAGAGGAGGCAGTTGCTGAGTTCCTTGCTGAGGGCTGGAGGGCCGAGGGCCATAAGGAGTGGGTGGCCTCCGTGGTGGCGGCCTCGGTGGATGCTTGGGTAGAAGGCCCCGGGGTTGACTGGCTGACAGATATGGGCGACGCCTACTATCAGGGGGGTGAATTCTTTACCCAGCATCTGATTTACCGGAGGCTCGCCAGGCACTTTGGCGTATCCCTCGACCAATTTGACCCCTCAGCATACGGCCTCCCTCCATTGCAACCAGATGTGAGAGTTCCCCTCCCCCCGGGCGAAGAGCGGCCGACGATATACGACTCTGTGATGATGGGGGGTGATGGGGGCGGAGCCGTCGGAGGTGATGCTGCTGGGGAAGAAGTCTCCTCCAAAGCCGCCGTAGAAGATGTCCTCGGGGATAATGATGTTAAAGTCACAGAGAAGATTTGTACTTAGTCAATTTTTGAAAAATCTTTGTAATGAACCTTTGTCACCCCTCGGCTTTGGCCCGTATGTAATAGTTACACTGACTTTCCTTTTTGTGATGATTGATGGGTGAGTGTTAGCCTTCGGGCATTGTATATATACATGACTTGTTTGCTTTAATTCATTCCTCCTTGAATGTATGCCGTCGTTTTTTTTCTTGAGTGTATGCCTTCGCCCTTTTTGAATGTATGTTTAGGACTTAGAATATTTTCCAAGTGTTTGAATACAGGTGTAGCCTTCGGTAGCTGGGCACCCTTTGCTGGATATGCAACCGAGGGCTCAGCTATAGTTAGGACTTAGAAAAATTTTCTAAGTGTTGATTCCTTGTGTACTGTAGCCTTCGATTGATAGGTAGCCTTCGGCTATTAGGTCCCTTCATAAGTTGAGATGAGCAGTTGACCGAGGGAAAAATATGTAGGACTTAGAAAATTTTCTAAGTGCTGTTGTATCGCATAGCCTTCGGCTATCCCATTCCCTTAGCTGTAATATTGATGGGGCCGGGGGGCCAATCTTTAGGACTTAGGATTTTTTCTAAGCATTGCTTCGTTGTGCCGCCTTCGGGTGACAGGTGCCCTCTGACTCTGCGTCACTTTTGCGAGATGTCCGGGGGCTACTCATTTAGGACTTAGAATATTTTCTAAGCGTGAATTGATGTTGAGCTTCCGGACGTAGATCCCTCCGGGTATATGAATAGGACCCTTCGGGTGATTGGGAGGCCCTCGTGTTGTATGAGTATTTGACCGAGGGACAAATATGTGGGACTTAGAAAAATTTCAAAGTGTGTCGTAGATGTTGATCCTTCGATCAATGAGGAGTCTGTCCGAGGGGCAAATATTTTGGAATTAGCCCCCTCGGCTGGCCTTTGATGATTTGTAATGGATGCCCTCGGTATTTGTTTGAAGTACCGTTTAGTAGACTTTGGATAGTCCAGTCCCTTTGTATTGTTGAAGCCTTCGGGGCTTGTGTGACCGGAGGTGATCAAGCAGTGGATAGCGTTCTCGTGCCTGTCATACCCTTGGGGTGATGACGCGGATAGCGTTCCGTTTTTGAAAGTCAGATCCTGGGCATTTCTCATGCCTGTCACACCCTGGGGGTAGTGACGCGGAAAGCGTTTCAAGGAAGGGTTTTCATTTGCACACTAGTTGCAAATGGCCGGGGGCACTACGTGCCGCCGGCACCGATGGTGGCGCCTTCGGTATATGCGTCCTCGTGGGGTACGGCTTTTTGAAACAACACTTGGTGTTAGTTTCGATATGTAGCCCCCGGTACTTGGTACCGAGGGGTCTTTTGTAGGAACACTTAGTGTTCTTCTTTTATTCGAAGTTGATGGGTGAGATGTGTACCCCCGGTACTTGGTACCGAGGGGTCTTCTGTAGGAACACTTGGTGTTCTCCCTTATGATGTTTGAAGGTGGAGATGTGTACCTCCGGAACTGGGTGCCGAAGGGAAATGAAACACTTGGTGTTCCTTGTCGTCGGTGATAGGAGTTCCCTCCCTCGGCACTTGGTACCGAGGGGTCTTGACTGAAAACACATGGTGTTTTCACTGTTGTCGTAGGTGTTGATGGTGTCCGCCCTCGGCACTTGGTGCCGGAGGGGGTTCTTCTCGTGGTGAGGCCTGGGGCCTGTAGTCAGTATGAGGACTTGGCCGCTCATAAGTGTTTTGTTCTTGATGTCTTGAATGTGTCTTCATTCTTCAAAATTGGAGGCCTTGGGCCATAGGATAGTACATTCACTAGTCATGAGGGCTTGACCGCTCTTACATTATTGATAAAATTTAACTAAGTGGTGCACATTCCAGTGCCTAGGGACCTCTTTCCCGTTGGGGCGTTTGAGTTTGTAAGTTCCAGGTTTGATGATGGCTGCTATGATGTAGGGGCCTTCGAATTTTGGTGCCATTTTTCCTCCCTCGGTTGGTTGGCTGGCTTCCCTCCTCCGGAGGACATAGTCCCCCACTTGAAATTCTCGGGTGCGAACCTTGGCGTCGATGTAGCCTTTGACTTGCCTTCGGTAGTTTCTGCCCGGATGAAGGCTTCCTCCCGTCGTTCTGAAAGGAGGTGGAGGTCGAGGGCCATGTTGCTGTCGTTGACCTCGGGGTCATATTGGATCACCCTCCGGGTGGGAAGGGTGACTTCCGTAGGAGCTTTGGCTTCAAAACCGTAGCAGAGGGAGAAGGGTGTTTCACCTGTTGCTCGCCGAGGGGTGGTGTGGTAGGCCCAAAGGATGTTGTGGAGTTCTTCCACCCAGCCACCGCCCTCGGCCTCCAGCTTCTTTTTGAGGCCCTCGAGCAAAGTCCGGTTGGCATTCTCTACTTGCCCGTTGCCTTGAGGGTAGGCAACGGAGGAGAAAGTGTGTTTGATGCCTCATGCCTCCAGAAGGGCACAGAACGGGGCCGCCTCAAATTGTGTCCCATTGTCGGAGATGTTCTGCTGGGGGACGCCAAACCTTGTGAGGATGTTCTTGAGGACGAAGTGACGGCACTTCGCCTCTGTGATGCTGGCGAATGGGTTCAGCCTCCACCCACTTGGTAAAGTAGTCGATGGCCACAATGATGTACCTGTTGTTGGAGGTACCCCTCGGCAGAGGGCCCACAAGGTCCATCCCACATCGAGAAAAGGGGACAGATGTGCTGATGGGGGCATAGTTGACCGCTGGCCTGCCGGGGGCTTTCTGGAAATGTTGACATGTGGTACACCTTCGGGCAAGGTCAGCACAATCTCTGGCCATGGTTGGCCAGAAGTAGCCCTGGAGGATGAGCCTTCGGGACATGGAGAAGGGTCCCTGGTGAGCTGAGCAGGTGCCACTGTGTACCTCCTCCATTGCGACCTCGGCTTCATCCTGATGAAGGCACCGAAGTAGCGTGCCGTTGTAAGACCGTTTGTAGAGCCTTCCGTCTTCGATGGTGTAGCTAGGAGCCCTTAGTTTTGCTAGTTTAGCGCGGGTCTCGTTCTCGGGTAGCTGCCCTGTGGAGATGAAGGTGATGATATCCGAGATCCAGTCCTCTTGACGTTGTTGTATGTTCATGACGGGGCTTGCGTGGATACTTGAGAGGCTGAGTTCCTCCATTTTAGCAATCTTGGAGATGTGCTCGGGGGAGTCGGCCGAGAGCTTAGATAGTCTGTCGGCCTCGGAGTTCTGAGCCCTCGGTATTTGAGTGAGAGAGTGTGCCTCAAATACCTTAAGCAACTCCTTGGCCGCCTCTTTGTACTGTTTCATTCTTCCCTCCTTGGCCTCATATTCCTCGGAGATTTGGCCAACGACCAACTTGGAGTCGCATTTGATGTGGATCTGCCGAGCCTTCATGTTGGCAGCCAGCCGAAGGCCACATAGGAGGGCCTCATACTCGGCCTCGTTGTTGGAGACTTTGAAAGAGAAGCGGATTGCATAGTAGGCTCTGAAGCCCTCAGGAGTAATGAGGACCACCCCTCCCCCGCATGCTTTGGTCGCGGAGGAGCCGTCGGTGTAGAGGGTCCACCAGTCGTCCGAGGCAGCCGAGGGCTCCCCGTCCGTGGCTGCCCTTGCGGTACACTCCGTCACAAAGTCCGCCAGGGCTTGGCCCTTGATGGCAGGCCTTGGACGGATGTCAATGTTGTACTGGCTCAAGAAGATATCCCATTTCACCATGCGGGAGGAGCTGGTGGGGCTCCTCATGAGGGCGCCGAGGGGTTGATGAGTGAGGACCTGAACTGGGTGAGCCTGAAAGTAGTGGCCCAACTTCTTGACGGTCCAAACGATGACTAACACCGTTTTTTCCACAGGAGAGTACCTGAGCTCGGCCTCCCATAGGGTCTTGCTTACATAGAAGATGGCATGTTGGATGCCGTCTTCCTCCCGGATGAGTACGGAGCTGATGGCTGCCGGGCTGACTCCAAGGTAGAGATAGAGGGTCTCCCCTACCTTTGGTTTTGAGAGCACAGGGGGTGAAGATAGATATCGCTTGAGTTCGTCGAAAGCCCCCCTGGCATTCTGGAGTCCATAGAAAGCCAGCCGTCTTCCTCATGATCTGGAAGAAGGGTAGAGACTTCTCCGCTGATTTAGATAGAAAGCGGTTGAGGGCTGCTAGGCGGCCCGTCAACCGTTGAACTTCCTTCACATTGCGTGGGGGCTCCATGTCGATGATGGCCTGGATCTTCTCGGGGTTGGCCTCAATACCCCTTCGGCTCACCATGTAGCCCAAGAATTTGCCCCCTTGGACCTCGAAGGTGCACTTCTTTGGGTTTAGCCGAAGATTGAACTTCTGCATGATGGCGAAGATTTCCCGGAGGTCGTCAGCATGGCTGGAAGATTGCTTGCTCTTGACGATCATGTCGTCGACATAGGCCTCCATGGTGCGCCCTAGGACGGCCTGAAAGACTCGGGCCACCATCCGGGTGTAAGTGGCCCCTGAGTTCTTTAGGCCGAAGGCCATTACTAAGTAGCAGAAGATGCCCTCGGGAGTCATGAAGGCTGTCTTTTCGGCGTCCTCTTCATGCATGAAGATCTGATGATACCCGCGGAATGCGTCGAGGAATGACATGATTTCACATCCCGCGGTCTCATCCACAAGTTGATCGATATTGGGCAAAGGAAAAGGGTCCATAGGGCACGCCTTGTTGAGATCCGTGTAGTCCACGCACATGCGGACGGTAGGGGGCTTCTGTGCGAGGACCACGTTTGCCAGCCATGAGGGGTATTTCACCTCCTTGATGTGCTTAATAGAGAGGAGCATGGCGACCTCCTTCTTCACAAATTGCCTCCTTTCGGCGGAGAGGGGTCTTCTTCGTTGTTGTACTGCTTTTGCCGAGGGGTCCACCGAGAGGCGGTGGGTGATGACCCTTCGGCTGATTCCCGGCATGTCCTCCGGCCCCCATGCAAAGACAGTGGAGTAGGCGCGGAGGGCGTCGGTGATACCAGTCTTCAGATCTTCAGGGAGCTGGGCTCCAATCTTCACGACTCTCTCCGACTGGGCCGGATCGAGCGCAAAGTCTTCTACGTCCTCGGCTGGTTCAGCCCTCGGCCTCTTTTCTTCCTGGTCGATGGTTCCGCTGATGGTGTCAACACGGAATTCCGTCTTACTCACCTTCTTAGTGACTTGAAGATAGCAGGCGCGGGCGATTTTCTGGTTCCCCGGGAGTAGCCAATGCCCCCCTCGGCGGGAAACTTGAGGCA